AAAAATATCAATATATAAGTTAATTTTAAATTATTTAATAATAAACATAAATTATTAATTAACAACTATAACTATATTGTTTATGACAATTAAATCAAAACATATATATAAATTTTGTGTGACTTTAACAAATACTTGTAATACTTGTATAGCCATAACTAAACCATACTCATTTTCTCTGCTTGAAAAATCCTCCACAAACTAACATAGTTCGTATGCCCTTTGTTAGTTTTTGTACCCAAACAGTTTTTAATTGAGTAGTAATCATCTACCTACCGTACAAAATTTACACAAAATTATAATTTTTTTATCAGCATACAAAATTTTAATTTTAATTTATAATTCGTTGCAGTAGTTTGCATTTGGAAATGGGCTCTTCGACTCCAGGTTTGAGGTGACCTGTTCCTACACGCAATAGCCCCACATGTGAACAAGTTTAATAGGTGATTAGACATTATATTGGGAAATTCTGAAACTTTGATGCTTGTGTCTATTCGTTCTCCGTCATATCTAGGAAAGATTAAGAATTTCGGTGCTGCAGGTGAATCTTAATGATATTGTAACTGTTTTAGGAAGTTCATGATATACTTCCGAATCCCTTTTTGTTAAATAGGATCAAATAGTAAATGATTGATTTTAATATAAAAAGAAGAAAGAAAAGTATTAAATTATGTAATGATAGGAAATATCACACTGTTTTTTTTTTTTTTTTATGACAATTCGGTATCCAGAAGTCCATTGGGCCACTAACTAATCCGGATTCGAGCCGGGCATGACCCAATGGGCGGCAAAACTCTCCCTCATGAGTTTTAACGGAACTGCATTCCGAAAGCTTGAACTCGAGACCTCTGGTTAAGCTGGAAGAATCCCTACCAACTCATCCACCCGCTCATGGATAGAAATATCACAGTTAGAAACATCAAGATCAAGTAAGAAGAAATTAATTTATTAACTAATTGACCTTTAAAGATTTGGTATTGATTTTTTTTTTTTTTTGAACATGTTAATGTGAGGCAGGATCAAACCCAAACTCAAGAAGAGGAGGGAGTGTAGGGGTGGGCAAAATTGGTTTCGGTTTAAAATTGAAATCGATTTTGAATTAACCAAAAAAATTTAGTTTTAATTTTGTGAACCAAAACCGAACCAAAATTTTTGTAAATTAATCGGTTTGGTTACTGATTTTTATCAATAAAATTAGTTGGGTTTCGGTTTTTATTAAATAAATATTAATCAATTATTTTTTTAATAATAAATTATATTTTATCACACATTTTATTATATTTTGTTATATTTTATCATATTTTATTATATTTTATCTATTTTATCCTAATTTTGGTTTTATTTTTGGTTTTTGATTTTTAAAAAAATCAACCAAAACCGAACCAAAATTATTTGGTTAATATAAAAACCAAAACAATAAAAACCAAAAACCGTTTAAATCAAACCAAATTCATTTTTTTGGTTCGATTTTCGGGTAATCCGTCGGTTCCAGTTTCAAATGCCCAGAGCTAAAGGAATGTATCTTTTTTTTAATGTAACTGATGTCAGTAGATCTGAAGAGTCAAGTACAAAGATTTTGTATTGATTACAATCTTATTAATATAATTTTTTATTTAATTTTTATTTTTTATATTATGTATCCTTTTACCTTATAAATAGAGTTATTTATATTCAAGAAAAGAATAAAAAAATAAATGTGTAAAGACCACGAAAGATTTTGCACTATGTAGACTAGGGGGCTTTAAAGTTTAATGTATTATAATGTTACAACACTATATCAAATCATATAATGTTGTATTTTTTGCTCTCACTTGTGTTTTTAGAAGTTTCTATCATTAGAGATTTTCTCCCCAATATTATTAAAAGCTTCTTAGTTAGTGTGAAGCAATTGTACTTATTGTCATGCCCTACTTTGATAATATTACACTTAAAAGTATAAAAATTTGTTATTTTACAATTTAAATTATTTTGAGTTACAAAATAATTTTTTTAAAGTATAAAATGATATTGTTATCCATGATTCTAGAAACAATATATTTTTCTTTCCAAAACCACCTCTCTATACTTCTCTTAACTCTCATTCTTAGTGTAGAAAATCACTTAATTGAATGAAGTTATTACTTTTAGGACCAAACAGCAGAGATCAATCACTTGAGGATTAAAGTGTGCAAAGACTAGAAGTTAGAGATTAGTATTCTCATTTTGCCTTTAACCAAAATTACTTAAAATACCAAAATCCCTACACACGTTGTTACACGCATCAATTAAGGTATCAAAACTTAGTCTGGGGTATCCACACCACGGGCGATTTTCGCAAGTTAGTGCCAAGTCATTGTTATTTTGACGTGGGTTTCACTTTTTAAAATCCAATAAATACTCATTTTTAAGATCAGAATTTAGGAAGTTTTTGGGAGGTTTTTGACAACTCCTTTGAGAACACTCTTGGAGATCAAGGTCAACTAAAGCTACGATATAAGCTAATTAATTTAACATAAATTTAGTGATTTTTATATTTTGAGAATTGCTACTTTATGATGAATATATATTATTTTTCTTTATACTTTTTAATGCTTAATTACCATTAAAATTGATTTGAAAAGTATAATTGAAGTTAAGAGAAGATTTTATACAATAATTTCTAATAACATATACTATGAATTGAATGGAAACTAGATATAGAGTAACATGATTTATATAATATTAGTGATGAGAGAACATTATTTTCTACGTAAATCAGAGAATTTCACAGAATATAATATATTTTTATCTATTTAAATTTACATAGATATATCGTGGATTAGTAGCTAAAAATAAGTTTGATATAATTTAAGAAAATATATTGAATAGGATATTAAGTTTCATTGTCACATGAATAATAAACATCTTTAAAGCATAATAATATAAAATCTATGTTAATTAGTTATAGTGAAACTAGGTGGCTCAGTACCTCATATTTTAGTGCTTTTATTTTAAATTGTTATTTTATTTTAATTAGTTTTAGTTATTTGTTCAAACAGAAAATGGAATGCCAGGACTGCTAGGCAGTCCTGACTTTCTGCAAGCCCTTGTTCAAATAATTCTAGAATTAGTTATTTTTAGTGTTTAGCTAATCATAATCTTTGTAAGAACAATACTGTATTCATTACTTTATTATTTGAGTGAGTAATGCACTTGCTAATGAATTTTAGGATATCATATTCCTTGCATAGCTCCGGATCCTTTGAAATGAGGGAGAGGTCTCTATTCTTCCAAAAAGACCGTTTTCTGCCCGAAACTTGAATTCCTCCAGTGTTGCATGTTCTTTGAGACTCATTCATATATGCGATGTATTATATTGTATATATCTTTTCTATTAAAAATTGATTTACTTTCATTGAATTCAATTTTTAATGTACTAGTTTGCTGTGTCATTTTGTAGGTTATTTCTGGGAAATCGTATGTTGGGCATGAAGTTGATGTCTGGAGCTGTGGTGTTATATTGTATGCTCTTCTTTGTGGTACCCTTCCTTTTGATGATGAAAATATTCCCAATCTTTTCAAGAAAATTAAGGTAATTAGGATAAATCCATACTGCGTACTATTGTATACTAAAGATACCCACTTTGTTAGTTTTTGAACAAGGAGATGAAGATCTGAAAAGTGCAGAACTGAAATTTTCTATTGAACGATTTAGCATTTTACAAGAAAATAAAAGAAACTGCTAAAAATTGAAAGTTAACTGCACTACATTCAAAAAACAAACTAATAACTACTGCAAACTGAAAAAGTAACATGATAGTATTTGTGTCACTGTCAACATCCATTCCTTGCATTGCTGTTTTCACACTTAGCAAAATATTGTGCATGGTGCTGTTTGTTCAAAACCTAGGATTGATTTATGATTATGGTCCAGATTGTCCTACATTCTCATCAGCTGATGATTGATCTCTTAATGTTGTCTTAGTTATCCTTCATATCCTATTTGTAAAGTTCTCTTCTTTTCCCCTTAATGGAGGAGGGCTTGATAACACCTTGTAATTGGGGTTGACACAGCTTTCTGTCTTTGATTCTTGAAAGTTCCATGGTGATTTGAAGCTTATCCTTTCGTTCATGGCAGTCCTAAGAAATATATTAATTCTAGAGAATGATTTAAGTTAGCTATATTTTTATTCACTGTCAGTTTCTAGTTTGCCCATGTTAGTAAGAGTAGATTCTAGAAATATGAAATTGTCGTTGAAGTCCATTTTCCATCTTCATAAATTTGCCAATGGTGTGTCTCCTTCTAAGCTAGTGAACTGTTTGAATCTAGCTCTGCGAACTAGAAATGTCACTTGCACATGGTTGCCCATGTTTTTAGGTAATATAAAAAAGGAAACTTATTCAAGAGAGTTTTTGTTTATTAAGATAATATATTTTTTTATGATAAATTAATATAAAAAAATATAATAATCACTTAATGTTATTAAAGGTAAAAAAAATTTAAAATTTATTAAATAAATCTTAATTAAAAAATGTGACTAAAAATTAAAAAATCAAAAAAGATAAATTTATCAATAAAATTAAAAAATTTTAATTTGCTAGTGATTTGATACAAAAAACTACCTAAACTAATTTTTTCAATCTGCTAATGGTTTGGATCATGACCGTTATCCACTATTCTCAAATCGTTAAATAAAATTTTTTATTAAACACCTTATCTATAATGGTTTCGAAATAAATATATCAAACACCTCCCTTAACAATTTGAATAATACTATTAACCGTTATTTCAAAACTACTATATCAAACGGATTCTTAATGTGTTTTGGGCTTAATGGCAACAAAACTTAATAAAGTTTATTGATCTACTCCTTTTGTTTTAAAATAATAAATATTTTTTTATTTACAATTTAAATAACATAATATAAATCATTCATGTTATTAATCTTATATTTTAACCTCAAATTTTGGTTTGTTTATGATTATTTTTTTAATTTGGTCCGTTATTAAGTAGTGTTTTTCATACATGAAATTTTACTCTTGCTTTAACATGATATAATTCCTTAACTTTAACTATTTATCTTATTAGAAAATTTTTCTTTTTATCTAAATTGTTATTAAATTCTTAATTTGATAAAAAAAATTATTAATTATTTTCCGGAGGGAAGGATTGAAAATGAAAATACATTTAATTACCCGAGAACAAGTTAAATAAAGAAAAATGTTTGGGAGAGGTATTTGGCTTGACCGACTGAGTTTCCCTCATACATTTCGTACGGCCTGTTTGGTAAATCTTTTTCTCATATTGTTTTTACAAAAAAAAATTGTGAAGTTTAGTTTATATGACTTTTCTCGTGAAAGTAAAATTTTGACACACAAATCAAAGTAAAATATATTGAATCATATTTTACTTCAAAGTAATTATATTAAAATGTAATGAATTACATGCAATATAATTAATTATAAAAGTAAAAAAAAAAAAAATCATATTTTCGGACAAGAAACAATATCCAGCCATTGTAATCAATTGTAAGCATTATAATCTATTATTTCAAGCATTTATTCTCTTTATACACATTTGATATATATTTCAATACTTAAACTTAAAAATTTGGCGTAATGGTTAGACTTCTCTGAATTTTTTTTTCCAAAAATATTGTGAACTTTTGGGGATTTTATTTTGATGTATTACCATAAATATTTTTTGGAATATAATCTTTCTGTAAATACAGGCTGTCCGTCTGTAAACTTACAGCAAACTGGAGGATAATCTTGGCCGTCCATACGGCTATTATCAACGGATGAGCTATCGATCCATGTGACGGTGAAATATTTAATACCGATCGTTGATCTAAACTTCATCAACAAGTAAAAGCATCATAACCGTCCACGTGATTTCTAATATTGCTTGCCTTTATGGCTTCATCGAACTCCCTCTCTGCATTCTGTCACCCTGCAATTGCTCCGAATTAACAGAAACAAAACTTAGCCCTCACCCAACCATGAATCGCTTGAAAACC